CCCCAAAACCCCAAAACCCCAAAACCCCTCAATAAAAAAATGTGAAATTTTTGGAAATCATGAAATTAAGATTAAATCAATTAAGAAGTATTGTCATTATCTAATTTTTAAGCGTGATTTCTTCAATCCATTTCATCATTAAATCTTATCTTTGTTTTATTTTTAAATCTTTAAGGCACCTAACTAGTATTCTCCTCACCTTCAAAAAATTTAACCTATTGGCTCTTGGTAAATTAGGTTTTTCTTTCCTCAAACTAATCATCCATAGTTTAAAATTGATAAGAAGTAGACTTTTTTAGTGGGGGAAAATTTGGCTGTAGTGTTTTAACATCTCTAATATTATCCAATACCGAGCCTCTGCTCTAATGATTTGCTTCCTATATCTAGACCTTAATTTTGCTTTGCTGACCAGGTTTGAAGTCAAAGATACTTCTCAATTATTTCTCATCTTTAAAACTTGTTTTCCGAGTCTCTTTGGACAAATCCTAAGAATATTTGGTTTTTAACTCAACATTCTCATAGTCATCTTACTTACTACCACTTTAATATGTAGAGCTAATCTTAGAGATCTATTAAGAAGATTGGTAGTTATTTCTTGACTGTATAAAATTATTATTTCCAAAAAAGTCTGAATTCTGTTAAGTTGGCTCATTCATAACTTTAATGCTATTGCTATGAATATCAAAGAGGTTTTCAACAAGCTTGGAGTTCAAATTGCTCAGACTCCCACTGCTAACGCTTCTTAAATGCTTTTCATTTTATCTTGATTTTTAGCTTCTAGTCGGACTAGATCTTTCTATGTCTGAGTCTGAAGCAATAAGCTCTTGTTTAGAATTATTTAAACGTTCTGAAGTAAATATATCCACATCTCCTTTGTCTTCTACAGAATTAATATTCAGTGGCCCATCTGATTCTCTTTGGTTAAATTCAAAGTTATCATCAGGATTAGGAACTTATTCCTCTAGGGGTTTTAGTTCGAAATCATTCATCTCAGTATTCTAGACTTTTGGCTTTCGTGGGTTTTTGCTATATTTTTTCTCTAAGACTTTTACTATGAAATACATAAAGAACCCAAGAATGTTTAGGCATAAGATCAGAATAATGCAGTATCTTGGGGTCTATGTTTCATTTTGAATTATATTCAAAGTTTCATTATGCCCTTGTTTAATAGGCCTCTATGGAAATTTAGGCAATTCAGGAATAACGTTACTCTGATTATTACATACCTTAGTGCCATTTCTTTCAACTATTAAACCTTAAGAGCATGAAATCTCAGTTGATGCATTTTTTTAAATGTAGTACCCATAGGTAAAGTTGAACTAAGGTTGCTTCTCATAAGCTACTGTTATCAAATAGATTATTTAGTCAGCTGGAAAAGAATAATTATAATCATTATAGCTTTCTGGAATAGTGTATTGATTAGTTGTTTATGTCGGACTTTAGCCAGTAATTATATAAGTGTACACGTTTTTGCTCACATCGATACTTATGTTTAATCTAGCATTTTTAGGAACATCAGTTTTATTAAAGAAATGAGTACCTTGCAAGCTCCAAAAGCAAATTGAATACTTATTGAAATGACCTGGATTAGTTGTCTGCTCATAATTTTTCCCTAATTAAGCCACCTATTCAGATTTTGCTGACATACAGGCCTTCTCATTTAAAGGACAGGCAAATAATTTCATTTAGCTTGAGTTTTATCGAACACTATTTGAGCAAAAATTTCTTTTACAAGCTCTACTATTATCCCCTTTTGAACAGCAAAAACTTATTTCTTCGACAACATTATTTTTGCATACAAAGTTATCTGGATTTTTAGTCATACAACTCACGCACTGAGAAGAGTTTGATATCTCAGTATAGCCAGATTAAATCAGAATTACTTGTAGAGCGCAAATTATTAAGGTTAATGTCAAATTTATTCTATTATACAACTTATTTTACATTTTAAAAATATAAAGATGCATACTGCTATCTTAACATATTTTATTCAGACGGGGTTTTGGGGTTTTGGGG